AATAATAATTAATAAGAAACAATTTAACTTTGTTAGTAATGTGAGATAGAGTTGTCTCCATCATCGACTTACTTATCTTTTCTCTTATCAAAGTTTCTCAGCCGGTCCATTTATTTAGAAAATCAACATTATCAGTTTTTATCTTTTGCAATTTATATGGATTCAGCTGCTTAGCCTAAAAGGCTTTATGTGGTTGACGAGAATTCTGATACTAAAGAAAACTATTTTTAAATACTTACACCTACTACTACTTTTATAATGATGACTTGCATTAAACGAAGCTTGGAATGGATTAACTCACCATTTAAAATCTATGTAACTTGTTCTAAACTTAAACAACTCTATAATCCGAAGCGTATACTTTCAATTTCACTTTCCTCCACCTATACTCATAGTAAAGGACCGTGCAGAATTAACATAATATAGACTCCCTTTGTGCTGGGCCGTTGTTATTGAAATAAGGGCACGTATAGATCCGAAACAGCGCGGTTATCGGCATAGCTTTATCCATAACACCTTATGGCTTCCTATGCTTTTTGCTTCCTTTTCGAGGTCATGTAGTGTATAGTGTTGCGTCAGAGCCTCAGAGGAACGTGTCTTTACCTTGTTATAGTACGATTATGTTTTCTCTTTCACTATACGTATACAATGTATTTACTACATAACCAGGTAAAGTAAATTTAATTTCGATACCTACCCCTATAAGATTACCTTTTGTGAAGTTAGAGATCGACGCACGGTCCAAAATTTATAAAATCTTGAAAGATGTACAAAATTTTGTAATTACAACTTTGAGAAGGCTGCGAAAGAACGATTTTAAATTAAACTGCAGACTCTTTATTTATTTAAAAAGGCGCATTTAATTCGTCATTAATCTTTTGGTTAATCCAAATCACTTTTCGGAAAATCATTATTTTCACCTAATAATTGCGACATTACTTAATGAATAGGTACACGAATTAATAATATATATATATATTTTTTTCAAATTATCCATTTGAATACAGCTTTATCTTTGACAATTGAAACATAAGATAAAAATAGCAATAAAACTGACTACCCCAAAAATTTCTTCCAATTTATTTACCCCATTGCTAACAACAAATAGGTGACAAAATCTTTTTTCACAGCCAAAATAAAACTAATCAGAATTACCAAACCAGTCCCCTTATTCAGCCTCAATAGCTAATGGCTCATTAGAAATTTTAATATCATAACTATACCAAAACACGAAACAAGATAAATAAAACCGTATATCTTAGTTAATGTGAAATTTCTGGATTGTTATATGCGTGGGCGGATTTATTGTCACTCGACATGCAACCCCAACAATCTGCTAATGAGTTGAGCACATAAATGAGAATTCCTCTTTTTGGGAAGTCGGTTAAAAGCGTCTGCTAGTTGGACTTAATTACGGTGTCGTGCTGATGCGTTTTTGTTTTTTTAATTTTAATCCTTTGTTCGAAGCGATTTGGATACATTTAAATTAAGTTCCAGTGCCCTTTAATTTGAATTTCGTTCTTGTTTTGTTTTATTCATTATTATTATGTTAACTGCAAAAATACCTTCATTGTTTAAGTATACTACCAATAATAGAATCAAAAAACATGGTAATGATTTTGCTGAAGCGTGATAAAAACGATTATTTTTTAATGCCGGTGGTGGAACGATGTCTATAGCTCTTGAAAATTAGCCGGAAAATCGCAAACTAGCAATGACGAATTTAAGATTCGATAAATTCGTGAAAGATTCTCACATTTTGTTTCTATGTTTTCAATATCATAATGGCAGACTTTAAAGCTCGGCTCTAAGCTAGAGAAACATTTTAACATGACTTTTATCTAATTACCTATATTTTTTTGGAATAAANGTAAGTAGGTATTACATAACAGAACCAATTGAAATGTACAATAACAATTAAGATTCTTCGTCCCTCGCAATTCAGCCGATAGTTCCATACAGTAACGATCGCCCGCAAACTCCTAACTTACACAGCGATACGAACCGAATACGCTTTCGGCAATAACCGGGCTACATTCTAACAATTTAATACGGCATAAACAATACAAATACGCGCACTGCTATACGCGCCTCCGGCATATGTAGCGTACACACCATATTTATCGACTATGGTATTGTGGTGCGCTCGTAACCGTATATCTGGGAGTGGGGGCGTACGGGGTGTCCTATCATGAATTCTGATACAGACCGACCACTCAGAATTGACCCCCGCGGATCCGAGCCTCAACCCAAATTCGGCCCGGATTCCCCAACCCGGGACAGGCGGGGCGGGTCAGTTTTGCCTGGTTAAGCATAAAAGGGTTTTGTTGATTGGACAGGGACACTCTCTAGGGCCTTAGTGACCCGTGCGCCATGTTAATGGGCTTAATCGTGCGTATAGTCCGTCTGCGCAATTTATGTTTCATTTTCGATCCCGTTATGCACGCGGGATTATGCGACCCTCCGAATTTGAAATGTATAATGCTGATGGGTTGAGATATGTATGTAAATTCGTAATATTATTCAGTGTCATAATTTTGGGTGTTCATATTTGGTTTCGGCTAGTTTCTTGTATTTTGATCTTGTTGCATGCATAGATTCCACCTTGTGATTGAGTGTGAATTTAGTTTCGGCACTAAGTAACTTTAGAACAATTACAAATGCGTAGGTAAATTGGGGCGATCAAGGGACTCAATGCATGATCAGTCATTCAAATTTAAGGCCGGATTTTTTAAGCTTTAATCATCTGTCTCGTAAATTACATCTTCAAATGTAACTATTGAGAAAATGTGCACAATTAACAAGACAGTCATCATTCAGCATTCTACATTAATATTGTACACGGTAGCCAACGATTCTATCCTAGTTTCATACCCGGTTATTAACAGCATTAAACAACTTATCACATTCATACACTAATGCCTGTTATACACCAAATGCATTAATACAGGTGGGGCTTTTATCAGAATTTAAAAGGGGATTAGCACCGTACATCTAGGCCGGCGTATCGCCCGCGCCCGGCGCGCCGGATCCGGCCGCATTTGCCGGGATTTAACCGGATTTATCCGGGTTCATAAGGGCTGCCACGTCAATATTTCTTCACAGCAATAACTTCATACCTTGTTCCTTTTGATAGTGTAGTGAGGTTCAGTTACCTTGGGCCCTGAAAATTTTCTGACTTCACAAGTCTCTATAAGTTTAGGCAAAAACTCATTATTATTTTTCGAAGTACATATCTACTTAGACTTAAACTTTAATAAAAGAAGCAAAATTATTAAAAATATTTAAATTTGATCCTTCTTTCTGGACTACTTCTAATATTTTTGTTTTTGTTAGCTGCTCGTTATATTGCAAAGAAAGTAAATTAATCAGTAATACAATACATCAACTAAAATTCTTACCCTAACGCCATTATCACATAATTTGAAACTCTGCCTGCACTAAAATAAAGATGAAGATGCTCTGCAATTGGTAGTTTGGTTTGTGCCAACCCTATTTATCCGGATTCAGCCGGATTAATCCGGCCGGCGCTGGCCGTGCTTTGTAGCGATATCGGATTGTTTATTTTACGTTTTAAATTGCGAATGGTTTGTTTTCATTACTTAACTACGATGAGAAGATGGAAATCACTTTTATTGCCAGTTATGAATATTTGAGAATATTTTTCGGGTTTTTAAGAATAATGGAAATGAGGATTCCAGTGAATGTAGTAAGGTAATAATGCAATATTGCTTAATGTGGTTAAACTTTTAACTTGATACAACTTGTTTTTCTTAAAATGTTTTAGGTTTTGTTAAAACTGACAAATTGTCAAAATGTTTAGATTTGTCATAGTTTACAGTTTGGATTTCTTCATTTGAGATACAAAGAAGTGGTGTGCTTTTTAAGACTTTAATAAAAAATAAATATCTTTGGACAATCTCACACAGCGCCATCTAGCCCCAAAGTAAGCAATTAATATGCTTGTGTTATGGGTGCTAGCTTAACGGATATACTACTTATATACTTTTTTTTTAAATACATACATATTATACATAGTAACACCCAGACCCGTCACAGAAATTAAAATTTTTCATTTCAATTTCTGCCCGGCCGGGAATCGAACCCGGGACCTCTCGGCATAGTAGTCCGTTCTGAACCACTACACCAAACGGCCGACAGACAGGGTAACTTACTAAATAATATACAGTTATTTCCTACCCATCGCCACATTACTGTAGATTTTTTTACCTACTAATATGCAAAACATAAACATTGCAATCTTCTGAATGACATAATCGGTATTTTCAAAAACCAACAATCATTTCAAAACTTTCAATGCGTTCCAGAATTGACTTCCGTAGCAGCTACGCCGTAGTAACACACTCCATAATCCTTTTCGCTACATAACTACAATGGCAATTCCGAACTTCCTTAGGGGCTACGGATAATCTTTCTTTATACAACCTACGAGACACAACTGAGACGATCTCACCTCTCTTTTCACCCCATATTTTTTGCAAAAGTGCGATAAAGACGGGGCACGCTACGAACTCCACTCGACTTCTCAATAGGGTAACGCGTATTTAAATTTTGAGTCGAGTGTAATAATTTTGTTTTTAATTTAATTTCTAATGGCGTTGTAAGTTGGGGAGGGAGATATAAATCTAGGAAGCAATTCTTTAAGAAAGGGAGTCGGGGGTGTGAATTATGAGACGGAATTACTTTTGGTAACGTTTTTAATGAATTTTATGCGCACACAAATTAATGGTATTTTTTATTGAAAACAATTGTTAATTATTTTATTCTTAAAAATAATACAATCACTTTTAAACAAGTGATCTGACTGTTACTTTCTAAATATGAAAAAATATTTAGAGGTAAAAAAAATAATGGAGATAAGTATAAGTAAGTAACTAATTATATTAGTTATTTACATTACACACTACTTCATAACTGGCAATAAAAAAATAAAAATAACAAGAAATATAAAAAAAAATGAAAAAAAAAAGCTTTTCTCTAAAAATATGAACGGTAGAACTATTAGAATTTTCTTTAGTAAAGAAACATACAACTTTCGATTAGTCATATCACAGGCAGAAACATTACAACAGCCTAAAAACGAAAAATTCTCCAAAAAATAATCCAATATCAATTTCCTTATTAATTTCTGGAGTGGCAACAGCGTTACTTCCATAGCCACTTTAATGGGTAATTTTCATAAACAAAGTTGAGAATCCCGGGGGGAATGGGGGGAAGTGGGGGGAAAGAGGTTGGCGCGGGCTTCGAGATAGAAAACAGCTCCGTGCTGGTATAATGGGTTTTTGGAATGGCGTCGTCCGTCTTTCACCCCCGCTCGCCCCTTTTCGCCCCCCGGGGTGAGAAAGGATGAATTCTTATATCCTCATCTCGGCCGTCCGGCGTTCGCCCTCCATGTAGATTGCCTTTTTCTCGTGGAACCTCCGTATAACATAACAATGGCTTGTTTTCAATTTTGCTTCTGCTATTTCTTTTTAGGCCCTGAAAAGAGGTATCGCTTAGTTTATGGACGGAATTGTCGTTGTGTAATCATGAATGTTCAGTTCGTGTCCTCTATTAAAGTCAAAGTAAAAGTGAAAAGTCAATGTCAAAATTTCTCTATTTGTCTAGATTTCTAGACTATTTAAATAGAATTTACAAATCGTCAAATCTATGTACAAAAAAAGAGAAAAATAAAAGACTAATAATTAATTAAAAAGTTTTTAAACAAGCTTTAAAACAAAATCTGTTGATCTCTCCACGCCAGCATTCAATCATTTTAATTAATTTCGTTAACAAACCTCTTTACAATTTATTTTCAAATTGCTGTATCAATGAATGAATAATGCTAACTTGGTGAATTCCCAATGAGATGAGCGCCTCCAGATGCCATCAAACCTGAAATCAGATATAGAAAATAATTGGATACGCTGCAGTTTTTTGGGAATTTCAGTAGTCTTTCTATCAAGTTTTGTAACCTGCTTCCTTGAATATGCTCATTAAATGACTGTCAAAAAATCCCAACATACAAAAATACCGTAGGTCGGTGCATATCCAAAAATAACAAACATATTTCTGGCATATGAGTAACCGCATCTATAACCAAGGCATATAATTCGTTTGGACTGCATTCATGAAGTGTGTAAAGGAGCCAAAAATAATTTGACACCGTGCCAAACCATGAAAACGCTCATATAAAATAACCCCGTCTGTTATGACATAGTAACTAGTTATTTTGCCAATTGTTAAAGGTATTATTTTGTTTTTTACAGCCCATAAAACACTACTTACCTATTAGAATTGAAAATTAATTAGCTGTCAATCAAATGATTCAAAACGAATTAAGTACAACTCAAAACTACGAATTTTCAAGTAGGTACGAGTCCATTAATTAAATCAATCCAAAGATATTTATTTAAATTAATTAATATTCAAGAGTACCATTATCACATACTAGCGTTTAGAAATTATAGAGTTATAGAGCTTTTTTACTATTTCCAGCCACCAATAGATGGCGCTACTTACATAGTTTGGATCAAAATAGCAAAAATTTTATTCTAAAGAATTTTTTTAAATCCTAGTTAGAGTTAGGTGATGTTACTGTTGATATTTTTTATTCTTATTTCTAAATTGGTTATTAATGTAAGAGATAGCTCGTGCGCATCATGCATTATCAAGACATTTCCTGCCTTCATTTCGTTGGCGTTTTCTGAAAACTCGTGTGATTATGATACGAGTAATAAGCTTGTATAATGTTATTTACGGAACCAAGAACCCGCTAACTATAGACGTTAAGGAATAAACACGCTATAAAGCAACTGGTAAATATAGCGAAACTAACATTACCGTCGGTATTAGAGCTCATAATCAGTTGCCAAAAATCTGCCTTCATTCGGGGCGCTTAGGAAAATGCTTAAGAGCGCAACCAGGGTAATTTGATCTCCCATTTTCGGTGTTGTTTCGTCTTGTTTTAGAGTAAAGTCTTGTGACAGGGGGTGCGAGGGGGTGCTCGTTACGTTGGCGATTATATAGCAATCATAGCAGTTGGATGAAATGAGAAGTCTCCCTTAAAAGGATAAACAAGTAACGTGTGCGTGGAACAGCCGACTCGCGCAGAATTCATATTTTACTTGGCCTCCCTTCGCTGGCGTCTTCGATATAAGAAAGCTGGTGAGGGAAGAGACTCTACAATGTTTTTTTATTTATAAGTACTTAACATTCTAGTCTAGATCTGGTCTAGATGTGTGTTTGCAACACTAGCAACGATGCACGAAAGTAAACCAGAACTCTAAAAACTAAAATTTAAATCGCATCAGAATCACAGGGCAATAATAGATAGCAACTTTATAGTTGTCTTCATGTTTAATTAATTATCCATGTGATTTTTCAGGAGAGATTGGGGAAAAAAGGATTTCAAAAGGATTTTAACAATTAAGTACTTACAACTTTTTTCGTAGTCCACTTCACAACTTCTTGATCAATTGACACTGGGTCATCCTGTAAAAGAAAAAAGTGTCTTATTACTACATCAAAAATATACTCAATTGATTATTTCTTATACTATTCTAAGCTAAACTAACGAAATAGAGTATCTTTCACCTACAACAGCCAGAGAGACGTACCAAAACGCTCCGTTCGTACCATTCCACCATCAAAATTGCTTTCCTTATATCTTCAATAAATGTTTAAAACATCCCGGCAAGCATGTGTTTTATCGTTTTTAGGGCTTGTTATATTAATTTTACTGGTTTTTGTATTTACGAGACCTATCGGAGGGGAAACTTTGGGAGGAGGCCTAGATAATGATCATTTAAGTGGTTGGTTACCGATCTTTTGGAAGCTTTTTCAGATGGTCGGAACTAGATTTTTTTTAACCTTTACAGGACTTATCTTACGAGAAAATTATCATTGTATTTAACAGTCTTCCTAAGGCATTTTTCGAAAATTCGCTATCTACACTAATATTATAAAGAGGAAAACTTTGTTTGTTTGGTTGTAATGAATAGGCTCAAAAACTACTAAACCGTTTTTAAAATTCTTTCACCATTCGAAAGCTACATTATCCACGAGTAACATAGGCTAAATTTTATTTTGGAAAAAAATAGGGTTCCGTAAAATATGTAGATAATGTAGTCGACGCGCGCGAAGCCGCGGGCGGTAAGCTAGTTTTAGATAAAATGCTTTCTAATTACTGGTGTTTATTAGATACCTACAAACACTCTTAATAATAAAAATATTCTTTGAAAATTTTTGTCCCCTATATCTGTATTCTATTCAAGTGTACTCTGAACAAAAGTTCCAAAACATAGCTTATCTCCACTCCTTCCTTATTATAACGTAAAGTGACTTACGCGCCTTAACATAAAACTAGGATAAAACAATGAGAGCTCGAAAGTTTATCTTTTTACGTTTATTCTGACAATTCGGCCTTTCATAAATAAATTCAGGGGATAACAATAAAGTGGAATGTAGATACATCGCGGTCCGCCTACCGCTAGATTTATGCTTATCTCGCCAACATAAACTGGTATTAATGCATATAAATATATCAGGAGTAAGAGACAGTAGGGTGACCATGACAGGATCTAACAAACATTCTGGTAACATAACACCCCCTTGCCACTAAAAGTTAAACGCACGTTGAACACTACTTTAAATTGACACTTAGTATGGAAAGGCAATTTTAAACTGATTTTTAACGCGCGTTTTACTTTTGGTGGTAAGGCTCTACAAGTTTTGCTTGTAAGACAAACACGATAATACAGACTTGGATTTATGTCAATAGTGCTGTCTTTTTAATAACATGTCATTCATCACGTTAAATTAGACACAAACTAAACAGACAAATGAGGAGATCCGTAGGAGAACCAGAGTGACTGACATAGCCCGCAGAATCGCTAAAATCAAGTGGCAGTGGGCGGGGCACATAGCTCAAAGAGCAGGCCGCTGGGGCAGGAAAGTTTTTGAGTGATGGCGACCACGAGCCGGAAGACGTAGCGTGGGCAGGCCTCCCACTAGGTGGACCGACGATCTGGTGAAGGTCGCGGGAGGTGCCTGGATGCGAGCGGCGCAGGACCGGTCTTTGTGGAAATCCTTGGGGGAGGCCTTTGTCCAGCAGTGGACGTCTTTCGGCCGAAACGAACGAACGAACGAAACAGACAAAGAAGGCAAAGTTTAATTTCAAGCACGTTGTAACACAAATAATTTAATTTCTACTTTATAGTCTTACCTGTTAATGATGTCAATTAACGACAACAGCAAAAGTGATAATTAATTATTTTATAACTTTCTTCACTTTTAATAAGCGCAGATAAAAGTTAAGAATGGCTCAAAAAACTAGATTCAGATTTTCTTATTTTCCTTTAAAAATCTCACGAAAAACTAAACTCATAGTCGCACCACCGGTCCAGGATGCCCGATCTCCCTTCTGCCGGCTCGGCGGGAAAGTTCCACAGATCCGTTTCCTCTGTTTGCCATTACCCCTGCCTCCCCTGACGTACTAGCAAATAAATACATACGACGCATCCCGGGATAAATCCGACGATTCGAAAAGGAACGGCTATTTTTGCTTCTGAGCTGGCATCTTCGGTTAAATATAACGGGATTTTAGAATAAAGTAGGAGGCGAATTAGTTTTATGTTTGAGTTGTAAAATAAAGTTTTTTAAGAAATAAAGAGCTTTCGGAAAGATTTATTACGTATGGTGATGAACATTTTTAGTCAATCGCCATTAAATAATGTAGTAAAACATTTTTAATTTACATGTTATTTCAGCATTAATATAGGAAATTGTATGTTTCATTCTGAATTCTGAATTTGTGATTTATTACATATAATTTACAAGAAAGCCCAAATGTGTTTTGCATCTGCGAATATTCTATAACTTGTTAGCGACTTGATTTTGTAATTTGATGTAAACTATTCTACTTAACTTAACTAGTCTATTTAAAATTATCAAATACCAAATAAATTATGTGTGTTGTTCAGCAAATACACATATTAAATATGTAAATAGTTCAAGTTTAGCATCAAAGATTAAGATTTACATACATTTTTGGATTATCATTAGTTTTTTGCCTAACGCCTCAACTTTTAATTTAGAGCAAATTAGATTGTCATACACCAAATTTATACCTAATAGACATGAATAAAAATATATTTATCTCTTAATTCAGACATAAAAATCTCACGGTTATTGGGTTTTATAATTATGGTTGTTTAAGACATTATTTGAAATACAAATTGTCGTAAGTCTGATCTACCCATTTGAAGTAGGCGCTCATTAAAGGTGGTAAAACTTTTGACGCTACGGTAAAATAATTTAATACCACTATAATTCATTTTTCCCGCATAGAAACGAGGCTATTATCAAGAAGGAATCAAAAGACGCGGTGAGATATAAAAATTAATGGTTGTTACTAACATTCCATTTCAAACACACATAATATTACAACTTGGAGGCAAATCTTGGTTTGCTATTCTTGGGACACAATGAAAATACTAGAAAGAGATTTTACCCAGCCGAAAATGTTATTTTTTAGGTTGAAATTATTCTTGTAAAACGATTTATTCTTCGTTATACTAAACCCAAATTGCTTTTTAAATGCAATAAATTTTAAAGGGGTGAAAATATAAAGATAAGACTTTTATGGCTTTTTAAATAATTTGTCTGAAGTGATATTATCATTTAATTGTGTTAGATACTTAGTAATTGAAACAATAGTGCTATTTGCTTTAAGGGACCCCTTTAGGCATATTACGGAACGGACACAATAATAATCAAAAGAAGTTTACTTTATCAAAGACCAAAAATATTGCTATTCCACCAAAATGGATCATCAAAAGGCACTTCTACCTATTTTTACGTCTACGACAAAGCTACGTTGCAGTCTCCAATGGCGCCCGATAGTGGCACAATACCCCTCAAATGGCCCGGAACTTTTTCTCTAATGGTTTATTTAAAAAATCCCACAATTTTCATTTTAACTTTCCTCCGGGGATAGCATTAAATCTATTTTATAACACCGAAAGACGTTAGCGTTTGATCGGAATTGCTTTTATGTGATGTTTTCGCTTCTTGGTATCTATTTGATTTAGCGTTATGCGACGGACGACACGGCGTTTTTGTTAGCGCTTCGGACATGTTTTTGCCTACAATTGTGTCTGGACGTTCTGTATTAAAGATTTAAAACTCCATTATTACAATAATACGAGCAGGCGGAGTGGTAGCTTATTTTTGTTTGATTTATTAACGGCTTAAATTGTAGTAAAAGCCATAATAAAAAACATACAAACGCAACTCTGTTTTATGCAAAATTACAAATTAAATCGTATCGTAGTTAAATGTAACGATAAAGTGGCAAATGAAACACGTGTGAAAGNTGTGAAACTTATTTTTGTGTTGGTTTAAATCACGTTTTTATAGTTACTTATCTAGTTTCATTGCTACGTTTAGTGGTTATTCTTCTAAGATACCAACCACAATCTTTACGGCTTTCTAATAGACCCCAAACATTCGCTTTCCCCGTCCTACACTCGACTCGCCTCACGCAGGGTCCAGAGTCAGAGACAATCGGTTTTACTGCGCATAAAAGTTAGTCTTTATAGGTTGGTGGCGCATAAAAGTGGCGTTTATGCCTTTTTAATTAATTGTCGTGCCGTTAAACGTCGTATCAGCTTTGTAGTCGATGCTGATGGCTGGAAAATTGTTACTCGAGTAGTGATTTAATAAAAAAACGAATTTGATGGCCGTGAGGTTCATAAAAAAGTCGTAAACGTCGCTTGTAAACTACTGTGTGTGAATGCTGATTTACGGTATCAGTATTGCAATGAACCACGACGTTAATGGGATTTGTGGACGTTTTAAATATAAATATGCATCAATAAAGGCTTATTAATTAAAAGGACATCATCCATTTTGGTCCAAAATCAAAAGTGCCGGCCAAAAAATAAAAGTGCTGTATTCTGATAGAATACGTCCGCCTTAGCATTTATTACTATGGCACCAAAGCTGTAGCACCACTGTGCATCGTAGTATTTGAGTTCTAAAAATATATGAAACGACTGACTTTGATCTCAAATACTACGACGCACAGTGGTGCTACAGCTTTGGTGTCATAGTAAAAAATGGTAAGGCGGACGTATTCTGTCAGAATACAGCAGTTTTTTTTTATTGGCCGACATTTTTGATTTTGAACAAAAAATGTATGAATCGTCGATGAATTTTAGATCTCAAATACTCGACGCACAGTGGTGCTACAGCTTTGGTGTCATAATAACAATTGCTAAGGCGGACGTATTCTGTCAGAATACAGCACTTTTTTTTATTGGCCGACCCTTTTGATTTTGAACAAAAAATGTATGAAACGTGGATGATGTCCTTTACAGTTTTCATTTTCAACATTATAAAGTAAAGTATCCTTACTAACATGTCACGTTTAAAAGTTACTTATTACGTTCTTGCTGCATTTCTCCAAATAGGTACATATTTTCAAAATT